TGTTTCAATGCTAATCTGTTCGGCTGGGCATTTGGTCTGTGGATTTGGAGTGGTTACTGGTGGTTTCTGAATTTAAACAAATGTGTGTTTTGTGGGGGGGAAAAAGATGGCGATAGGACGTTACATAATCCTTCCACTTCAGCCATTAGCTATTTTTTATGTGGGTGTTTTAGGATATATGTTAAAGCACATAAAACATTACATAATCCTTCCGCTTCAGCCATTAGCTATTTTTTATGTGTGTGTTTTAGGATATATGTTAAAGCACATAAAATTTGAGGAATCAAATATTTAAATACAGAAAAAGTATATCCATACTATGTGTAGTTTTTCTCTGTTTTTCTGTTTACCTACCTTGTTATGCACATGACAATTGCAACTATAATGGCAATCTGTACAGCTCCAATTATTGCTGCAATAAGGACATGCGTAAGCTTTTGTCTACTTGGGACAACATAAAGAATACTAAAGTCTGTCTTTTCACAGTGCTGTCCAGTATATCCTGATTCACACCTGAAAAAGAAAAGGAATATTTAATGGAATCTGTAATTTGACAACATCCCAGTCATTTTGCAGATAAAATAAGGAGCCCAAGGTGACTCCAGCTGAGAAAGAGCTGGTGATACGGCAGAGGTGTGGTAATGCTTGGGCTGGGGAATGGTTTGGATTTCTGTGGCAAGAGAAGGGACAGAGCAGGTATGTTCTGCTTTCCTGGGTAAGGATACTAGTGGCCCTTTCTGAAAACGCACCAGCGTGGTGAAGGCCCTGATTTGGCAAAAGAACTATGTAGGGTTGTTATTAAATGGGGGCAATATTTAGGAAGAATAAAGCAACTAGGTGAAACACAAAGAAGCACGCTCATGAAACACAAAGTGAGCATGCTCACTCGGCCGCAATGTCAATATGGGACAGGAGTGACAAAGAGGAAGAAAAACCTTGAATAACAGAGGGAAAGGAAGATCCCTTTTCATGCCGCAGTCTACAGAAGTAGAATCCTACAAAACCTATTGGACAAGACCAGCATCATGAGCCCCTCTTGCCTTGTCACCAAACCAAAATTTGACGGAGGTCAGGTTAGAAAACCCAATGGTCCACAACTGTTCAAGTAAGAGTTCATGGAAGAAACCATGAAAATGGCCAAGGGTGGGGGCAAAATGGCTGGAGACAGAAGAGAAGTGGCTGCTCTAAATGGTACCTTGCCTGATCAAAGCAGCAGTTAGCTCAATGAGAAACTCAGCAGAGGCTGCTTCTGATCAGCAACGCGTGTTCAGGGAATGCGAGATGTTGCCAGTGGTGAAGGTGGCAGTGGAAACATGCTCTGGAGGAATTCATGTCGCAAGGCAAGAGAGGCAGAGGCACAACAAGGAAAGGCAAGAGTCACCCAAGGCACTGAGCTGAAGTCTGCAGAATCAAAGCCCACCACTTACATCCCTGAGCAAGTTCCTTGTACAGCTATCGCTTAAAACTGACCGATGCAAATGCATAATTAAGGGCAACTGAATCATACAATTGGCCTCCAGCTCTGTAGTAGAAAGCTGGAGAAAAAATACTCACATGCAGGCAGAGAAACTGTCCTTTTGTAAACTGGATCAGATAAGCCCGAATGCAACACAGAATCGGTCTCATCCATCCAAAAGCTTTGTGCTAGGGTAGGAATTAATTCTGTTTGGAGGAACAAAATAATCACTCCACAGACCTTCCTACAACTGCTAATGCCACTCCTAATCCCCCTTTGCATGCAGGGATAACAGTCGGGGTTTACATGTTCATAATCTTGTGACTCTACTTTCTCCAGCCATGAGCTGCTGTGTAAGGACTTTTGGTTCAGGCATGAAACAAGTTTCAGTAAGAGCAGAGTTATTAAAGAAAAGCCCCCATGTGCTGTAAGTAAGCTTGGCAATGGCTAGGAAGGGAATCAAAAGAAACATGTATTAGTGCACAAGAAGGAAGAGGATGGGGAACAGGTTTGTAATCTTGGAAAAAGAAACAATAAGGAAGAGGACTCCTTGCTAGTGGAGAGGACTGAACTCTCACTGTTAGTTTGCTTTTGTTTCCATTAAAGAAGGTAACAGTCAAAGTGTGATCAATGTGAGAATTGCTTTAAAGCTTATGAGGCAAAACAAGCAGAGGAGGCACAAGTAATTCAAAGATGTTTCCTCAAAAACATTGAAGCAACAGGAAATTATTTCTGAGAAACATTGAATGGAGATTCAGGACTATTGAATTCCCGCAAAGAAGAAGTGTTTGCGTTAAGAACTATATTGGTGGTGGGATGAAGTACTAGGCACTAGTTTAAGCTATCTCAAACCAGCAGAACAGATTTTAAAGCATTCTGCTGCATTAATATAGCGCAAGGTAATATAGCATTAATATAATTGCAAGATAAATAGAGGTAAGCATGGATTTATCAAAATATGCTGATCAGTCAATTAATCGAGCTAGCATAAAGAAGTTTAGATTTCTTTGCGAACAGTTGAACTGTGCCTCTGTGACGCAGCCTGCCATAAGGACAGGGTGGAACTGCAGAGCACAAGTGGAGCAGCAGGAGATAGACCAGATCCCAGCTGTGCAAAGGTTGCTCAACTAAATATTATGCAATTGACTGCTACAAAACTTTCCTCCTGCATGCATGCTGGCAGTCCTGGAGGGCTGCTGTACAATGAGCAAAGAGACTCATTGCCTTCAGTGAAAGCGAAAGTCAGAATTTGCTCTGCGCAGGTATTTTCTGCAGTTTTGTACCTCATCTGATACCTCACATATATCACTACCAGGAAATGAAGACCAAATTAAATAGTGTATATGCTAGATGTGTATAAGAATGCAAACCATTTGAAAATAACAATCTACCCCTAACAATCATCATTATGTTCTCCTTGCCAGAGAAAGAGAGAATTTTTTTCTTTTGCAGAAGGATACGATTACTATGGCAGAATGCTGTCTGGTATAAATAATTTGTTTCCTTAACTGCTCCAGTAGGAAATACGCATAAAGTACAAGACCATCAGTATTTAAATAGCCAAGAAAAATCCAAAGAAGATTTGATACTTAGGGTTAAGAACTGACAGTCAGAAATTCTTGACTGGAACCACTCAGGTTTGTTGTGTTAGGTCCAGTGCTGAGATACTGTTCAGGCTGTTTAAATAAATAATTGAAGGTAGTAATAGTAAATGTAATAACAAAATAGAATTTAAAGGGACAGTACATTAATTAAATTAATCAAAACATTGCCTATCAGTAATTATTAGAGTAATAATAAATATTTAAATGATTGAATAGCAACTGAATTATAAATGAATAAATGACTCTATGATTAGCACCATCCAGAAAAGAATTCTGAGAAATAAAAAAATCAGTTCATTCAGCTGGGAATATTTTCCTTGAAATACCTCTGAGTATTTCGAGGACAAATCCATCAGAAATCATATTAAATGCAGCTCTAGATCAAAAGAATACTGTAATCAAATAGTGCTGCCTAATGCCCATCAAGATGCCATTGGGGATGCACCCAGTTTCCCAAGAGAAGCAAAACCATGTTGTGCTCTCTTGGTTCTGGCCAAAGAAAAGAGAAAAACAACTAAGTCCTATTGGAAAGGTGAAAATAAACAAGAAATGGTCTCGGATGGGAAAAGGAATAACGTAAGCTTTCAAAGGCTTAAGCTGACAGCCATATTGGCTTTGCCTTTTGGGCTTCCTGTTCCCTGGTCAGTTTGGAAACCCTTAAATTTTGGCAATGGAAAAACCCCTAAATATCCTCAATTGATAATGATCAAGGGAGAAAATGTGACAGTATCTCATGGATTTACAGCTGAAGTTTCCAAAGCAAAGGAAAGCAAAGAGTTATAGCATCTTCAGCTACATTAATCTGAAAGTACATGCCTGCAAGATAAAAGTTCAAGAGTGAAACCTCCTAATAAGTAGGACACTCCATGTTATTATGAAGTGGCCTTTTTCTATGAAGAACTTTTATAATTAATTTTATTTTAAAAAGAAAACAAAAAGGCAGTATTTAGTTGGTGAAATGTAAAGAAAAAGTTATCTGTGAGCTAAGGAGACAAAAAAAGAAAAAATTATGTGGGAGCTAAGGAAATAAGATGGAACATTCGTATTTCCTGGGAAACACCAAGTGGCTTAACACTGAGTGTACAGAGCTGCTAGATTATACCATAGACAAAAAATGTGGGCTAAAGAATATTGTGCAATTTTATACTCTCCAGATGAAGCCTATTATGGTGAAAAAGGGCAATAAATGTTAAAACTAAGATATTGATACCCTAGAGAGTTTATGATGAGAGCAATCAAATGTATAGGTAGCATAAGAACAGACTGAGGGGTCAATAGCGAAAGAGCAGTATACAGAGAACCCATGCAAGGCAAAGGCTTTTTTTTTTGTGGGTTTTTTTTTTTCCTCTTGATAGGATTTAGCAGCTGAAAATAAGGAGACAACACTGAGGCCACAGTCCTCAGAGGGACTCAGCTTCTGAACTACCTGAGTGACCGAGACTGTCCTCTGAGCATCATCTCCTGCATGACTGGAGCAGTTGGGTGCTGCTCACAGCACAGAATCACAGAATCACACAGAATCACAGAATCACTAAGGTTGGAAAGGACCTTCAAGATCATCAAGTACAACCATTAATCCAGCACCACCATGTCCCCTAAACCATGTCCTGAAGTGCCCCATCCACACGTTTTTCGAACACTTCCAGAGATGGTGACTCCACCCCCTCCCTGGGCAGCCTGTTCCAATGCTTGACCACCCTCTCGGTGAAGACATTTTTCCTAATATCCAATCTAAACCTCCTCTGGCGCAACTTGAGGCCATTTCCTCTTGTCCTATCGTTAGTTACTTGGGAGAAGAGACCAACAACCTCGTCGCCACAACCCCCTTTCAGGTAGTTGTAGAGAGCGAGAAGGTCTCCCCTCAGCCTCCTCTTCGCCAGACTAAACAACCCCAGTTCCCTCAGCCGCTCCTCAGAAGACTTGTGCTCCAGACTCCTCACCAGCTTCGTTGCCCTTCTTTGGACACGCTCCAGCACCTCAGCATCCTTCTTGTAGTGAGGGGCCCAAAACTGAACACAGTATTCGAGGTGCGGCCTCACCAGTGCTGAGTACAGGGGCATGATCACTTCCCTACTCCTGCTGGCCACACTATTTCTGATACAGGCCAGGGTGCTGTTGGCCTTCTTGGCCACCTGGGCACATTGCTGGCTCATATTCAGCTGGCTGTCAACCAGCACCCCCAGGTCCCTTTCCTCCAGGCAGCTCTCTCTCTCTTCCCCAAGCAATGGGGAAGTCCATATCCCCAAGGGATATGGCTCCTGTGCCACTCCTTAGATAAATGCAAACTAATATGTGCTGTAATTATGTCTAGAGAGCATTTTGATTAAGCATTACAGCAATTTCAAGCACATTTTGGAGGCATGCAGGACTTACCGGCAGGAAGCCTTCTGAGTGGAATAAATGAATTCACATTTGCCGTGTATACAGTAGCCGTTGAAGCTTTCTGAACAAGGTATGTGGTTTCCAATGTAAATGTCTTCTCTTTGATCACTGGCGTCTTGAAAAGAAATAGACATAAACAATTATAAATAGCTGTATGATATTCATTAAAAAATCTCAACCAAGAATAGCATATCCTTAAAAACTTGTAGTGAATAAAGGAATACATGATAAAGCAAAGGCTTAAGGGTGAAGTTTCAGAGGCACCTACGGAGATTTGCTAGAATGTACTGCACTGAAAAATTATCCTCAGAGACATCTAAATATGCTTCTTATGTCAGGTTTCTTGAAAGGAGAAAAGTATTCACGACAGAAACAAGCCAATGCAGGAAGAACAGCAGAGGAGTTGTCAGTAGGGCAAAGAGCTAACACATAGATAGAGAGAGCTCTCTCCTATGTCTAAACAGAGGGGAAAAAACCCTCAAGGGTTAGAAAGAAGATAAACCACATTTTATGACTACCGGGTAGAAAACAACCTGATAAAGCCCAGGTCTGACTGGTACCACCTGTTGTTATAGCTGACATCAAACACACTAAAATATGTCTTCCTCAGAGAAACGCTTTTACCGAGAGGGAATTTCAAAATATTGAAATGAACTGAAAATACCCATTCCTTTGGGAAATGTACTGGGTCTGGGTGGATGGAATTAATTTTCTTCAGAGTAGCCCATATGGTGCTCTGTTTTGGATTTCTGGCTGAAACAGTGCTGATAACACACCAGTGTTTTGGCTGTTGCTGAAGGGTGCTTGCACAGCGTCAAGGCCTTCTCTGCTTCTCACTCTGGCTGCTAAGCATGTAGGCTGGGGGTGGGCAAGAGGCTGGCAGGGGACACAGCCAGGACAGTTGACCCAAAGTGACCAAAGGGATATTCTGTACCATATGACATCACACTCAGCAATAAAAACTAGGGTTTTGGTCCTTCCAAGCTGGCCGTTGCTCAGAGACCGGCTGGGCATCAGACTGCTGCTGGGACGTTGCGAGTGATGGCTTTGGCACCACTTGTTTATTTTCTCCTTTTTTCCCCTTCGTTTCTTAAACTGCCTTTACCCTGACCAATGAGTTTTTTTCGTGTTTGCTCTTCTGATTCTCTCCCTCATCCTCCTGGGGGAAGGTGGGGGTGAGCAAGCAGCTGGTGGGCACTTAGTTGCTGGTTGGGTCAGCCCAGCACAGGAAGGCAGCCCCTTCTGCCCCAACATCCTTCGTGCTTCTGTCATGTTACTAAAACTTGCTAAAACTGCACACATTTTCAACCATTCTTTCCCCAAAATCGTTCTGTAAAGAAGTCCTAAACACAGAAGTTGGTATTTCATAATGAACTTCTCTAAAGACCAGGGATCTAAAGATGTGAGTGTAATTGTGGAATTATGTTCATTTCCATGGCAATAGACTATAGCGTCACAAGATTATAACGAAATGCAGGTGCAAAGCAAAAAGGGACTGTGAAGAACTCTCTTACACGATTGGTGACATTTGAAATAACACCAGCTAGAAAGAGAATGTATTTATAGAAGAAAAAGAAAAAGGCATGCTCCTGTTTTAGGTTTTCCCTGAACATTTGCTGGAATGTTTTCTAATATGTTCCAGGAGAAAAAGAAACCTAACTATTAGAGGTTTTAGGTAGAAGGAAGCCTGTTGTTTCAGGCTGTGCTTCAAAGATACAGAAGACTTGATACAAGAGAAGAACATCGCCTAATACTGGGAATATGTCCACCACTGCCTTGATGAAACAGACTATGTTGTGTCCTATCTAAGAGGAGAAAAGTGAGGAGTGAGGAGTGGCTCACCCCACAACTGTTGCCTCTCTCCTCCTCCAAACAGCTAATTAGTGTCACATCTGGTCCCAGTCAAAAGTTGGTGATAAGCTACGTACAATTATATTAGTCTGTTCAGATAGCTGTGCCATGTCTGGTTTTAATGTATGTACTAATATAGGAAATGAGGCCCGGTGAAAGATGCATCCCCTTGACAGGTGGCCAGGTAGCCACGGCCACCCAAGTCAGAGGCAAAACTTGCATGAACCACAGAGGTGATTTCCTAGTGTAAGGGTAACATTTACCCACCTACTGATGGAAATCCATTTTTAATCTGAGAGGCCTGCTAGGCTGCTTCAGACCTTCAAAGTGAAAGATTTAACTGGTGTAGGAGCCTTGAAAGAGTGATTGGATATAACAGTTCAGATACTTCACCAGAAGAAAGAGTCATACAAAAAACCTGAAACCCCGATGTCCATCTTGGCACAATAAAACCAGCAAGCCAGCTGAATGTGGGAAGAAAAGACTTTCTGATGTAACTTTAGGTAGACACTTGCACTGCAGGAGAAGGAGGCTGTCATGGCTATGGTTCTACAGACTAGAAGGTATTATACATTCAGAGAACAGGGTTAACAAGAATAACTCACAGGAATTTAAAGCAAACAGAAAGAAGTGTGCACTGTTCTCTTATCCTGGAAGAAAAAGTAATTCAAAGTAGTTCAGTTCAGGCTCTCACTGTCTAAAAAGACCTGACTACTGTGTAAAAAAATTGCAAAACAATTTTTTTGTACAAGGCATACTCCGTCCATGCACATCATTTGCCAAATTTGAGAGTGCACAAGCTATGCACATTAATAATAATTATATACAATGTTTTTTCCACTAACTAGATTTCAAGGGCAATTTATATGCAATGAATAAAAGGCTGTAACTTCTTCTGAATAGGAACCAAAAGTGGTGTTTCACTACATCACATAACAAGATGTATAGTCCATTTGGTGCCTTTTATGCCTTCATAATGTAAGTGAAAATTGACATTAAATCATTCCAACTGGTACATTACACAGAATGACAATAAGCAAATTTGTGAACAAAGAAAAACATACAGAGCTTTTTGCCACTGAATGGCTTTTCAAGAAGAGCACAAGGAATGTTGAAACCATGGTGGGATGGCTTTACACTGGGAGTCCATGGGAGTGCAAAACTAGTACAATGACAGAAAAAACTAAAGACCAAAGCTAACAGAGAAGACACCAGCTCCTCACAACAAAACCTGTATTAAGGCCAGCACCAAGAAGAAACAGCAGTGACTTGCAGTCACTAGCGACTCCCTCCTGTGCAGAACAGAAGCAGCCGTTTGCAAACCGGACCCTATTTTCAGGGAAGTTTGTTGCCTCCCTGGGGCCCAAATTAGGGAGGGCAAGAAAAGCTTGCTTGTCACCGCAAGAAAGAAGAACTTAGTACAACCTTCAGACTACTATCCGTTCCTGCTCTTTCATGCAGATATCAATGATGTAGCAACAAAAAGTTGATCAAAAGAGATTTCAGACCCCTGGGAAGAATGCTAAAAAATTTGGAATCACAGGTAGTGTTTTCCTCAGTCCTTCCAGTAATGCCAGGATATCAATACCTGGCTCCAGGACTAGGGCCTCCACCAAAACTTTGGGTTTTTAAAACATGGAAGGGCCTTGGAGACACAAGGTATGCTGGGGCCTGATGAGATTCACCTGTCCTGAAAAGGAAAATACGTCTTTGGGCGTAAGCTAGTGGGACAGATCGAGAGGGCTTTAAACTAGAATCGCTGGCAGACAGGGATACCAACAGCATTGCAGTAGGTAAGCCAAGAGTTAGCATGGCATCGCATGAGAGCGGCAATGCTACTGGGAACATTTGCGCTGCTCCTGGGAGCACAGAGGGCTCTGGAGTGTATCTGAAATGCTTGTACACCAACACACACAGCATGAGAAACAAACAGGATGAACTGGAAGCATTGGTTAATTCCCAGAACTGATATCATTGTTATTAGTGAGACTTAGTGGACTGAGTCCCATGATTAGAGTGCTGGGATGGAGAGCTACAGGTTGTTCAGGGGGGATAGAGGGCTTACAAGAAAGATGGGGAAAAACTCTTTAGCAGGGCCTGTTTCAATAGGACAAGGTGTGTTTTTAATTTAACAGTGTTAAATTAAAAGAGGGTAGATTTAGACTAGATAGAAGGAAGAAATTCTTCACTATGAGGGTGGTGAAACACTGGCACAGGTTGCCCAGAGAGGTGGTGGATGCGTCATCCCTGGAAACATTCAAGGTCAGGTTGGACGGGGCTCTAAGCAACCTGGTCTAGTTGAACATGTCCCTGCTCACTGCGGGGGGGGTTGGACCAGATGACCTTTAAAGTTCCCTTCCAACCCAAACTATTCTATGATTCTATGATAGGCAGGGCAGGCAAGGCAGAGGTGTCACACTATATGTAAGGCAGAGGTTTGTTGCACAGCCCTTGCAGTTAGTGGGGATGTGGTTGAGAGCCTCCAGGTAAGGATGGAAAACACAGGAGATACTGTAGTTGGTGTCTACTACTGACCGCCCAGCCATGATGAGTTATTCTATAGGTAATTAGGAGAAGTTTCTGGATTGGTAGCCCTTGTCCTTATGGGAGATTTCAACTTTCCAGACATCAACTGGGAAAATCATACTGCTGTGACGAGCAGGTCTTTGAAATTCCTGAGGTTTGTAGGAGATACTAACTTCTTGTCACAGGTGCTCAGTGAGCCAACTAGGAAAGATGCCCTCCTAGACTTGCTATCTGTGAATAGAGAAGGACTCGTGGGGGATGTGATGGTAAGTGGCTGTCTTGGCCACAGTGATTACGAAATAGTTAAGTTTACAATTTTCAGTGTAATGAGAAAAAAGGACAGCAGAGTTGCTACCCTGGACTTCAGGAAAGCAATCTTTAAGGTATTCAGGGAGCTATTTAGCAGAGTACCCTGTGAATCTGCTTTTGAAGGCTTAAGGGTCCACGAGTGGTGGTCAGTTTTTAAGAAGTACCTTTTAGAAGCACAGGAGCAGGCAATCCCATTGTGTTAAGCAAGTGGGGCAGAAGACCAGCTTGGCTAAAGAGGGAACTCCTTGCGGAGCTTGAGATGAAAAAGAAATTGTATCATATCTGGAAGTGAGGTCAGGCTTCACAGGAAGATTACAGAGCTGTGGTTCGTATATGCAGGGAGAAGACACAAAAGGCTGAAGCTCAATTAGAGCTGAATCTGGCCAGTGTTGTGTCAGATAACAAGAAGGGCTTTTTTTAAGTCCCTTAATAGCAAGAGGAGATCTAAAGTTAACATTGGACCGATAACTTGTTGAAGATGGTCAATCTGACTAATAGGGACGAAGAAAAAGCGGAGGCATTCAATGCTTTTTTTTGCCCCTGTCTTTAATAATACTGATAGACCTTGACTGCCCAGTCTCCTGAGTCAGAGGACCACAAGTGTGGGAACAGTGGCTTTCCATTTGTGGACACTGAAATTGTAAGGGACCAGTTGTATGAGCTGAATGTTCACAAGTCCATGGGGCCTGATGGGATTCTGAAGTAGCTCATAGATGTTATGGCAGGACTCCACTTGATCATCTACCAAAGGTCTTGGGAGTCTGGGGAGGTCCCTGCTGACTGGAAGCTAGCCAATGTTATTCCAATTTACAAGAAGGGCATGAGGGAAGACCCAGGAAACTACAGACCCGTTAGTGTAATCTCAGTTCCTGGAGAAATTATGGAGAACATTATACTGGGTACTGTTGAAAGGCATTTAAAGAATAATGCAATCATCAGGCACAGCCAACATGGGTTCACAAAGGGAAAGTCCTGTTTAACTAATTTGATATCTTTCTATGACAAGGTCACCTGCTTAGTGGATGAAGGTGGGTGGATGTAGTTTTTTCTGGATTTTAGTAAGGCTTTTGATACTGTGCCTCAGAGCATCCTCCTGGATAAGCTGTCCAACTGTGGGATGAGCAGGTTCATGGTGTGCTCAGTCAAGAACTGGCTGAAGGGCAGAGCTCACAGGGTTCCAGTGAATGGGGCTACATCTGGCTGGTGACCAGTCACCAGTGGTGTTCCTCAGGGTTCAGTTCTGGGGCTGGTTCTATCCAATGTATTTTTCAGTGACCTGGATGCAGGAGTTGAATGCACCATTAGTAAGTTTGCTGATGACACCGAATTGGGAGGTGCTGACTCTCTTGAGGGACAAGATGTCTTGCAGAGGGTTCCAATCATAGAATGGTAGAATTATAGATAGGTCGGAGCATTGGGCAGTGGTTAACGGGGTGAAATTTAACAAGTCCAAATGCTGGATTCTGCACCTAGGGAGGAGTAACACCAGACTAAGTATAAATTGAGAAAGGAGTGGCTGGAGAGCAGCCCTGCAGAAGGGATCTGAGTCAGCAGTGTGCCCTGGCCACCAAGAGGGCAACCTGCATCCTGGGGTGCATCAAACACAGCATAACCAGCCGGTCCAAAGAGGTGATTATCCCGCTGTATTCAGCACTGGTGCGGCCTCACCTTGAGTGCTGTGTGCAGTTCTGGGCCCTGCAATTTAAGAAGGATGTGAAAGTACCTGAATGTGTCCAGAGGAGGGCAATGAAGCTGGTGAAAGGGCTAGAAGGAATGTCCTGTGAGAAGCAGCTGAGGACTTTGGGTTTGTCTAGTTTAGAGAAAAGGAGGCTGAGGGGTGACCTCGTTGCTCTCTACAGCTTCCTGAGGAGGGCATGTGGAGATGGAGGCGCTGAGCTCTTCTCCTTGGGATCCGGTGACAGGATGCCTGGGAATGGTTCAAAGCTGCACCAGGGGAGGTTCCGACTGGACATTAGGAAGCATTTCTTTACCGAGAGGGTGGTCAAATGCTGGGACAGGCTTCGTAGAGAGGTGGTCAATGCTTCAAGCCTGTCAGTATTTGAGAGGCATTTGGACAATGCTTTTGCTTTAAAAGCAATAACATGCTTTAGCTTTTAGCTTTTGGTCAGGTGAGGCAGTTGGACTAGATGATCATTGTAGGTCCCTTCCAACTGAAATATTCCCTCTCCTCTCCTCTCCTCTCCTCTCCTCTCCTCTCCTCTCTTCTCCTTCTATGATAAACAGTGCTATTATTTGTGAGAGAAGAGGAGGAAAGGTTAACACCTATGCAGAGCTGCTCTTTGCCAGTAACTTGAGAAACACAGAAATGTTTTGCCCTGGACAAGAATCATGACATGCAGAAGCGTATTTGTTCTGAGAATGCACCTAACAAACATGGGCTACTACCATGTACAATAACTTAGCAGAAAGTGAAACTCTGCCTTATTTCATTTATACTAAGGTTATTAAAGGTAAGGTAAGGTTCATATAGGTAAAACATTTTCAACCAATGTGATTCAGAGTATTAGTTTACCAAAAACACTTTAAAACAACAAATACAGAATTTGCCATTTTGTTTCAGAAGTTTAACAGAAAAGATGGGGTCACAGGAGGGAGGCTCGTGTCATTTCATCAGGAAAGTCACAGCTTGGTGTCTTCCAGTAAAGTCATTTTCACAGCACTTGGGGGGAGTCTAATCCTGAGACCGCTGCATAGGGTGGGATCGTAGAGGAATACAGCAGGCAAAGCTCACAAATCATGCACGTCTCTTTCTTGCCAGCCTTGCAATGTGCTGTATGAAAGAAGCTGTTCACAGGTCTGCCTTGGTTACTGAAATCAAAGCTGTAAGGCAGACAAGAAGGGATCTGCATGCTCTATTTTCTCATCTTGTGAAACCATAACCAAACAGCACAAAGTCAGCACAGTACCTTTCACCTCTGGCCGATACTGCATGCCATCATCTTTCTTTCCGACTGCGTTTGTGTCATCTGTTTCTAGATGATAAATACATGCATGGATAGCTATTAGGAAAGGCTTATTTCCAGACCACTGCATGTATGTCATTGAGAAGCCAGGAAAATCTTCGAAGAAGTATTTTATTTGCAGTAAAACTGGACACATTCCCACATTGTTCCTCCCACACAACCAGGCTGGTAGCACACCTGGTCAGTAACAGAGTCAGTAACCCCCGTGTCCAGACCAACACATGACACACCTTAACCTGTAGGTTTTGAACTAAAAAATTCCCTGTGGTATGGGCCTAGGTTATTTTGGTGACAGTCTGTTTCGGCTTTAGAACTGTCCAAGTTACAGATCTAGATGTAACTGGCAAAGAGATGGTGGAAAGCTGTTATTCCCATGAGAAGGTCCTAACTGCAAGACCCCCAAAACTGGAGTCATGCACATGATTAACTACAAGGCAGTAGACAGAGGGTTTCAGTGGATCGTTCCAACACTGGAAAAGGAAATGGATAAATATTTGTGCAACTGGGGACCAACTTGGCTAACTTTGGAAGTACATTGTACAGCCCACAGCAGCAAGAGGGAATGTTTCCCACACCCTGGTATGCCTTTTGCTCTCCTATTTCTTACCACCCCCTTATGTAAGATTCATTGGACTATTGCTCAGATTCTCCTAAGAGTTTTTGCTGTCTTTTCAGGTAACAGCAGCCAAAGGAAGGTAATGCAAACACTGCAGTGTGTATGTAGTGTAAACACACCTCTGCATGTGAAACTCTCAAATACAGGTGGGGAGTTCACCAATAACTGGATCAGTGACCTCTGATCAAAACTGGAAAAGGGAAAGCTCTACCAAGCCCACTATGTCAGAATGTACATTCACCAGAAAACCAAAATTAAGCCTACCTGTGCAGTGTCCAAGATGCCGGATGTCGATCTGCTCTTGCCTCAGACATGATGCTTCTCTAACAAAGCACGGATTGTTATAGGAACTTCCATCAGAAGCACATACAGGATTAAAACTGTATCCACTGCAGTCTATATTACATACACACCTGTTAATTGAAACATACAGCAAAACAAATTGACATCCAGCAAATAAAAATTATATCATGTTCACTCCTGAGTAAACACCAGCTTGTACACTAATACCAGGAGAGAACAGTGTGTTGCATGAGGACGCTGAAAAATTCGTTGACATCTCAGGCTTCCAAGCAGAATGTATAAAAATCATGAGTAGGCACTTCAGTGTGCTTTTTGATACATGTATTGATGCTTCTTGTAGTTTTACGATGATATCAATCTCATTGATTAAGACCTGAAAACTGATAACACGTTGCTAGGAAGATTTACAACATTAATATAACAGTTTGTGGTGTCTGTTCTCAAGTGTGAACAAAACCAGATGACTATTCTACTTTTTTGGGGGTGTCAGGATCCCTGAAAGGGAAACAAAAAGAAAAGGACTCCCATTTCTTTTAAGCAGTAAAAGGAGTTTTTCTGTTTCAGAGGCTGTACAGAATCAATATGCTTGGTTAACTGTGTCATTTCAGCAAGACATTCGTTCATACCTTTGAAAGTTAACAGCGGGTTTATTATGTTGTATTTAAAACAGGATTATGCGATCTAATTTATTTCATATTGCATCCAATCAACACTTTGGGTGTTTTAGACACAGCATTTCCCATAGAATATGCAAATACGGATTGTAAAATAAAAGTGGGAAAAATGAAGATGTAGCATGTAGCTGGTTCCTTACCACCCAAATGTAGGACAGCCAAAGATTTAGATAAGGATATGACTTAACTGGTTTTGGTTAGACAGTTTTGTTGCCCCAACAAAAAGTCCTGAAATTTTACATGTGTGAATGGCACAGGAAAACTTTCCAACTTTCCAAGCCCCACCCCTCCTTGTTTATTTTAATCAATATTCTATTTTTTAACCAACGCTCTATTTTTGAATGAAAGTTTCTGTGTGTGTTTCACATTGTTCTGCAAACTCTGCTCCGCCTCTGCACTGGGAAAAGTGAGGAGTGTGGCTGCAGAACGGGGGATGCGGTGGGCACCCAGTCCAGCTCTCCACCAAGCTCTTCCTGATGCTGTGAGAGCAGGAAGAGCTGCTCTGCATCTTCTGAGGAGGTGGCAGTGGGCACGCGGTCCTCTCCTTGCCAGAGAGCTCTGCTCAGGGGCACTTGGTCTGACTGCTAGGAGCTGCTGCAAGCTTCACCTCGACTTGTTCTTCTACGACATGGGGTGGGGAAAAAAACCCAAGCTACCGACTTGCCAGGTTTTTTATGTTCTTTCCAGCTACTCCAGATACAATTAAATGATTAAATAGATGTACGTGTGCCTCAAGTCAGTAAAAAATCTCACAGCAGAACGTAATTCCATGCTGCAGAAACACTGAGGATGGCCAGCGTACTTTTCTTTCTCTCTCTTTTTCCATGAGCACCTCTTGCTACCTAAATTTAAAGATGCTAATTTTGCCAGTAATATTTCATGCCTGTGAACTTCAGATTGTTGCTAGGCAAAAGAACATTGCTAGTGCAAATCGGTTTTTAAGTGCAGCTACTGACAGTGAAAAACTGCCCCAGTAATGAGTCGCTACACTTCTTAGGGACCTACCTCAAAGTACTCATGAAGCCACTAAATATCAATATGATAAACATACAATAATTTTTCATACTAGAAATGGTAATGGTTGTAAACCTTAGACCCAGGAAAGGACATCCTATTTTGTTTACATGCTCTTATATGATTTTAAGCCTAATAAGCCTAATGAGGGGTTTATTAGGATTTACTATATGCAAATAAAAGGCTCACGGCTCAGCAGTTGTGCACATTTATGGACACAAATGAGTGGAGAGCTAGTCCTAATTTGTATGTCGCTGGCTGTGTGCTTGCAGGTACCTTTGCTCAGCCTTAGCACCCAGGAACCACCACTGCCTGCGTGCACCCATCCTTGTCACATTTGAGCACACCCATATATATCTCCAGACCAATTCCATCTGTATTTCTATGTCCAAACAGCTCTAAATCTGTCTGTAGTTACCATCCAAGGTCCATAGCACCATAATTATTGTTGGGTTTTGTCATTCCTGGTGACAAATAAGGTGACTTTTGAAAACACCTTTTTTCTTCCTCATGGTAACATTACAGCTTAGAGTTGAAACTGCTTGGAAACTGCTTATGTTTTCATGCTTCACTGTGTTAGATTTAACATCTGATGTTAAATGCTTACTTTCTTAGCATCGACACATGCTTGTTTTAGGGGCAGGTACTGGGGTACAGGGATACTGGGAGCTGCTGGAGGCTTGCAAGCACACCAAATGCCTGTTTGGGCCCCGCTGGCACAACAGACCCCCCCAGCTGGCAGACATACTGCTTTCTGCACGCAGGCGTGGGGGCTGCAGGCACACCAAATCTCCAGCGAGGCCCTCGCTGGCCCGGCAGACCTGTCTGGCTGGCGGGACGCGTGCCTGCTGCCCACCCGTTACCCGTGCTGCTCAGGCACGCGCTCCCCAGCCAGCGCTGCCTTCCGCAGGTCCCAACTGCCCTTCCCCGTGGGGAGATGGGTCGGGCAGCTGGGGTTGTTTCTGGCTCGCTGTTACCAGCCATTGCTGGCCACGGTGCCTGGCAAAACCAACTGGGGTCCCCTGGCATCCCTTGGTGTTTGCGTCCCTGACCTTCAGGATCTGTCCCCGCTTCCAGGATCCACACCATCCTCCTTCCAGGCCCCCTCCTTCTGTCCACGGGTATTGCTTTGCAGGACACCTCTTCTCTCCAGAGCCCAGGCCCTCGGTTTCCCAGTCTAAGCAGTCTATCTGCACAAGTGCGACGCACAACCAGCTTCCCAGCTGCCGACTGGCTCATGGCTCTTTATTAACCGTAAGATTCAGGACATGAGACTTGTTTAGTCCAGGCCTTACCCAGAATTTACAGCCAGTCCATGCTGGTTGCAGGCACGGAGTTCAAAGGTTCCATTTCAGACGTCCACCCCCTCACCCCACACGCGATTATCTGCCTGATGCCGTTAGCTACATCTTTGACTACGAGCATGACACAAAATGGTGTCTGGCCTTCACATGGCAGTTTAGTTACTGGTGTAGATGTTTTGACAGAGCTGTCTGGCATGTAAAAGCAGGTGGTTTAAATATACTGCGGGATAGCTAACAGTTGAACTGAACTGATGTACTTAAAAAAAAAAAGAGATTATTCTGCCTCATGATTCCCATATAGCGGCCTGAGGCTGTTCAGAGGGCTGAAAGGGAACGAGTTAAGGTGAGGACACGGCTGGGGTACGATGCTCTGAAGGGAGCAGGGCCTCCACGGACGCAGTAGGGCAGAAGAGAGGGAGCCAGGAGCACACGTTAGAAAACTGTACCCGTCAGAGAGTCCGCCTGGGGTGCAGTGGGGGTGTCCTCACTCACAGCCGCTTGAGACTCGACCTAAAATACAGCCAGGCCCGCTGGAAGCACCAAACGGGGAGACAGGAGCAGCGAAATGCGAAGAGTGCTGCTCTCAGTAGAGAACAGGAAACAAAAGTTGTTTTTAACTGCTTGGTGTTTGTGAAGGAAGGTAAAACTGTGGGAGAGCAAGTCGCTGCTCTGAGGCTGCACAACAAACACATCGAAACGGGCAGCTGAGTCCCTGCAAGAGGACAGGGCCACCACCGCAGACTGAAACAAAAAAGCAGCTCATGAAAGTGTTGGAAGATCCCCAAACGAATCTGCTACGAAATACTGAAAATATATTACACCCCGAAGTCAGAGAGCTACAGAGGGCAGACAAAAGCTTGATACTGCAGGGATGACAGAAAATCCAACCTCCTGAGGGGAACAAATTCCCCCCACCAGCCGGTTTGAGTCCTGAAGCCAAGCAGCAAAGCCCAAGACGAGCAAGCACAGCCCATGGGGCTGCACCCATCCCACGGACCTGTACCCATTCCACGGACCATACAAGCAGCACACAACGTATGGGAGAAGGCGCAGCAAATGGCGTTAAGGAGCTAAAAGTGGGGCCCTAAAGGGCAGAAATCTTAATTTAAAAAAAAAATCAAATAGTATTCCACACAAGCACATCCCCAGCATGAAAATACTAGGCTATACAACTGGAGGGCAGGCAAATAATATGCAACAGAAGACAATTTTATAAAACAGAAAGCAATAGAAAGCCTACATCAGCAAGGTTTAGGTTAGGATTTTAATCCATATAAAAGATGTGTTTTGAACAGAATTTTCTACCTTACTTCTACTCACCTTAAAGTTGTATTAAAACACTACCCTGTTCCTGTTGAGATAACATCATAGCTTCAAATACTTTTAACACTGATTTTTAGATAAATTTAGATAAATTTTCATTCTAGTCCTCCTTGGAAAAAACAGAAGCAAGAGGCATTTTCATCCCTAATTACGAGAAGAAATAAAAATGAGGTGTGCTGTATGCATATATTTTCTGGTGTAGGCAAGCAGGCACACAACGACATTATTCAGATACAGAAACTCAACTTCTTATTTATAAAGAAATTTAATTTCCTATTTACATAGGAACTTAATTTCTTATATGAGAAATTAACTGTCTATAACCACTTAATCATTGCTATTTTGACCCCTCAGTATGTTTTCACAAATGCTAAAGGCTGGTCTGAGTTTGGATGGCTGACACAATCCAAGGAGAAAATAGCATATGATGATGTCAGTCCTACATAAGCGCAGAACAACATCTTGTATTTAAGTTTCTAGCATGGAAAACCTGAGGTTCAAACCTACGTCTGAGTTGCTTCCATGCTGCAAGCAGTCGAGGAAGGTGAGTATGGGACAACCAGAGCTGAGGTGAGCAGCCAGCCTGGCTCCTGGGGTCGCACATGACGAGTCTCCTGGGTAGGCAGCACAGAGGCTTGAGCTCTGTCTCTCAGGTAAATGCCATTCTTACAGATATGTTTATTATGACCCCCCAAGGGAATCAGGAAGGATCTTACAAAAGAAAACCCAAAATCATGCAAATTTTCACAAAGAGCAAGTAATTCTTCTGAAAGCTTGCAAAACAAAAATACCAGA